CTTGCCCACCGATTCTATCTGCCACGTAGTCTCAGGCCTTTACAGAGGACTTGAGCCAAGCTGATCATTTTTGTCTCACTTAAGCTTTCTTGTCATCTTGCCTACGTCAAGTTGGGTTCTGCCACTCTTATCTCATATGATACCTTACATCTTGAGATAGATGAGCTGTAGTTCCTCTGCTGAGTCTGTGCTGACAGCTTTTTATGAGCCAGTGGGTTAAAGTGGCAGAATTACCCGAGTAGGCATGATATGTTTTGAGTGCGTAATTATGACTTCTTAACAGAGAAAAGGAGAAAATTGCTTGGGATACTAAAGACTGATACTTATCCATAAAATTTGAATCGTGACTCTTTATGTTCAGCAATGTAAGAGCTGACTTTTCAATAAACTTGATCTGAAGAGTGAGTATAATGAAAGTATAATGAGTACAGTTCTGCTTTTTCCTTGCGAGGCAACGGCAGTGATTAAGCAACTGATTTCTGTCAGTTCCTCGTGTGGTTGCTTATGAGAGCTCTAACTCCACGTGAACTAGTGCTACATGCCTGATGTTTGGTCTTGGTAAATCTGCTAACAGGCAGCAAACTGATGGGGCGGGGGGCAGAGGAAGGGGTCTCATTATAATGACATAGCGTTTTATTTTCTAAAAACAGTTTTAGGGAGGATGAAGTTGAGATTCAAACTGTGACAGCAGTTTGACTAGGGGTGAAACATACAAGCTGGAGGGAGGGATAATGCATTTCTCACTACTACTCTATTTGTGGTTCTGTTCTGAAAATGGAATTTAAAAATGGCACCTTTTTTAGAACAACGTTAGCTGTCATTAATGGCACAAACATGCCGCTACTCTGCTCAAAGCACCGAAGCAAGCCAAGCGCCTCTTGAAATTGAAGCTGGCTGTTGGCTCATCTCTCACTTTTGCAAACTTAGTCTTCGCTGCAGATTCTGCCCACACTTTGAGCTGTGAAACCTCATCAGTAAGGGCACATGTATGCAGCTAGGGCAGAGTTTGCATAATAATAATTGTTTGTGAGCCAAGAAAAGTACCCAGAGTTGGCTCTGCTGGCAGTTTAAGCTGAAACCGTCCATCAGCCCTGTCCGGGGCTTGTCAGTTCAACGAGTCATCGTGGCAGAGTAAAGACAGAATACGACGCTGCCATTTTCAGAGTCTCTTTTCAAAACAGAAATAATGTGTACAAGTATATCTCGCAAAATTCTTAAATTGGGGGGTGGGTGGGGGTGGTGTTCTAATTGATGTTGCTTTTCAGTACCTAAACAGATTAAAAACATAAGTTAATATATCATGGCTTTCTAAGAACTGAACAGTGTCTCCTTTTCCTAACTAGTGTTTACTATTTAAAAAATATTAATTTTTTTGGTATTTAGGCTTTGAAAAGCTATTAAATCTTAAGTTTGTTTAGTAATGTTCTGTGCTTTAAGATTGTCTGTTTCTTATATAGCAAAACCAGCTCCACTAGAAATAAAACCTCTGCCTGAATGGGAAGAATTACAAGCCCCAGTTAGATCTCCTATCACCAGAAGCTTTGCACGAGAGTAAGTTTCTTAGCTTTTCCTCGTTCGGATTAATTGTTTTCGTTGACTAGTGTGTTAATAAATGTGCGTATCTTTATTATATTTTTAGACTGTAATACAAATGGAAGTTTCCTTTGGAAGTGTGTGTGTGTACGTGTGTGTATGTATGTATTTATGCACATGTGCATTGAAACAGTGTGTCCATATGAATTATTATTTTGTAATATTAAATATATGGGACTGTGTGTAACCAAAAAATGTGACACTAGTAAACTTGAGTGAACGTTTCAGCTCTAATATGCTTATTTTTGTTGTTTACCAGGAGGTTTAAGATATTCGAGATGTATTGTTTGTAAAATAATTCCTGGTAATTAGCTCCTCCAGGTTTCCCATGTCTCCCAGACCGGATTCAGTTCATAGCACAACTTCCAGCAGTGACTCACACGACAGTGAAGAGAATTATGTATCCATGAATCCAAATCAGTCCTCTGAAGACCCAGTATGTAAAATCTACGTCTTAACTACTCTCTTCCTGTGCAGTCCTTACTTTTAAATCATGCAAACACAAATCCTTCCGCTCAAAATCACTCCCTTTATGCTTCTAGATCAAAATAGTAATAAAAAAAAAAAATCTCTATAGAAAAACTGTAACTTCGGTAAGATTTCACTGAAGAAGTTAAGAGCATAATCATATATAACGAGAATGGTTAGTATATGCAACCATTGTACAAAACAGTTCAATACAGGGCTTTTCTTTCCTCTTCCCTAGAAACTGTCTGTTCTAGGGAACTCTTGCTTGTCCTGGGCTATGCACCGGTTCAGTATTATGACATCAAGGGAAATAAACTGTCTTAAGACGTCTGAGACAGGCTTAAAAACCTTTATGAAATGGACATCTTCCAAGAAATGTGGAAGAAACAGGGCAGGGAAAAAGGATTGATGTTTGTTGTTTATTTTCTATAAAAAACTGAGCTATGTGTACTTTTATTAGGCTTTCAAAAAAGAGGATAGAAGGGGTCTTTGTGTATTGAATATCTGGGGGGTTTCCCCTTTGGGGGAGAATTTTCTCAGATAATAAAATTTCAGATACTCAGCTTGCAGTGCAGTAAGTGAAGAACTGGTTAGGAAGAGTTAATGATGTGTGCTGTGGTCTTTGTTTGGTTGAGGGGAAGAAAAGACAGAAAAAGAAGAACAGATTAGTATTTTAAACTAAGAGAGTAGCAGTAGACCTAGGCCTAAACTAAAATGTGGGCCGGAATACCCCTAAAGCACTGGAGGAAAACCTGTATCTTTAGCTCAGCTTTTTGTTCAGTACAGTTGAATGCATCCCCCACATTTTTACAGCTTGGGTTCTTAGTAGGGAATACAGCAGCATTTTTCATCTTTAAAGCGTTACGAAAGACCTTCTTTGGGGAGGGCCTGTCTAGCACCTTTTTTGTTCCGTTTGTTTGTCTGCCTTCTTATATGGCTTCTGCTAGCCTGTTTTGCTATACCCTGGACTCTCCTCCTCTCGGGGTGCTGCTTGCTTCCCCATCCCCTGCTGCTCTGGATACTCTCCCCAATCTCCTCTAGCCTCCCTCCCCTCCAGCTCACCATCGCTGCCTCTGGACACTACCTCTTGGTTCCCCCCTGAGCAAGCTGCGGTCCTGCTGACTTCTCTGCTGCAGCTCCGGCTTGGTGCAAGCTCACCAGCCTGCAGAGCATCCTGGCTTGGGCTTTGTACCATGTCTGACCTGCCGGCAGCGCAGGGGGAGTGGGGAGCCCATGGTGTAAAAACTTAGCCCCTCTCTAGCAAGAGGCATTGGTAAGTAATCGGTAACATCCCATTTACAAATGCAAGGAACGTCCCGTTTTACTCAAAGGCTTGGAATCTCCTATTCCCACAGTTCTGCCTGCAGCAGAATTGCAGTTCAAATTGGGGATTTCTGTTGATTCTTACAATGCCATTTCAGGGGTTTAACTTCAGTGCCGAGACGGTATAATTAATATCACAGCTCAGATGGCCTGTCATTAAAATCTTCTGTTGCCTTGCACCGTTCATCCTTTAAGGTTGTTCTACAGACTTCCTTTCATTTACACATATTTAAGGTTTCTGTTTTCTAATGCATATGTTCTGCCTGTCTAGTTTGTTTGAAATAACAGATTCTTTTTTATTTAAAGAGAAACATTGATACAGAACCCGATTTTTGTATGTTAAATATGCAGAAATTTGTCTGGAGAATTTGGGCAAGGAAAATGAACTTTGTTTCAGTTGTTTGTGTTTGTCCTTGTTACCAACATTAAATTAGTTGGATGATACAGATATAATGGATAACTTCCATTTTAAAAGCCCTGCCCATTAAGCTTTAACCCATAAAGTATTTTATTTCCTAGAGAACCTGAACGTTTCCAGATATCTCAAGGCCTTTGTTTTAAAATGTGCCAATCACGTAGATGTTTTAGAAATTTTTGTTTGTTCCAACTGCATCTTAGAAAGGAGTCCATACTTTTTCATCTTTTTCTGTCATCGGCTTCGAAGCATTTTGTTTGGACATGTCATACTTCTGTTTTATTTAATAAAATCAGCAATATTCTGCTTTTTCTTTCAAGTTGCTGTCAGCCTTACCCTCCTGTCTTTCCTTCTGCCTTCCTCTTCATTTTTTGCTGACTGCTGCCCTCTGTCTTCCTTTTTTTTCTTTATCTTTTAGAGAAGAGTCCTTCTATTGTACTGTTCCTATAACACCTGTTAAGAGGGAGGGATCAGGCTGGGAGAGGACAGAGGAGGTGAGGTTGTACAAGTCTGGGCTAATTGAAATTTAGGTATATGCAATGCAACTTCACTCCAGGTAGCCCTACACAAATTTCCCAAAGCTTTAACCTTTTGGGTCTTACCAATTGAATAACACTTTTTGATTTTCAGCTTAATCATGATGGCTTTTGAATGAAAAGTAAAAGTTTCATTTGAAGTTTTGCCACTATTGTAAGACTGAATTTCTTGGATGGTATTTAACAGCAATTTAAGGAAATAAAAAAAGTCTGTAATTAAGTCATGCTAAATTTGAGATGTAACAACTTCATTTAAAAAGAACAAATCACGCTCCATTCTTCTTGTGATATGAAAGGGACATTAGGTGGAAGGCATAGATTGGTTCGGTGGCAACCTTAAATTTGGGGGGGCTGGTTTGGGGCTTTTTTTCCCACCCATTTGCTTTCAACTCTGCCCCAGTTTTGACTTAAAATATATCCCCTTGTTATACAGCGTCAATACAATTTGCATGGTTTAACTGATTGCAAGAGCTCTCAGTCAGTTTTTTAACTTTTAATATTTTGTCGGTTTCTAATAAGCATATTTGATCATATATGGACTATTAGCATGTACATTTGTAGCTGAAGTTATTTATATTATAATTTCAGAATTTGTTTGGAAGCAACAGTCTTGATGGAGGAAGCAGCCCTATGGTAAAACCTAAAGGAGATAAACAAGTAGAATACTTAGATCTGGACCTAGATTCAGGAAAATCTACCCCACCTCGTAAGGTAAGCAAATCTTCAACTCTTGCATTTCTGCCATCACAAGTTTAAAATTTCTTCACAAGCAGTTGCTGGGAAAGCGGGGAGCCTCCAGCAAGACCATCTTAACTAGTTTGTCAAATGGTCGATCAGACAGGCTGTGTTGGACCTTTCAGAGAAACCTGTGCTTGTTCTAGATCTGTTTGGGACATCGACTTAATTTTTGTTGTTACTTTATTTTAACGTATGTTTTTCACTCTCCCTTCCCTTTCCCAGAAAAAGAGCAGTGGTTCAGGCAGCAGCGTGGCAGATGAAAGAGTTGATTATGTTGTGGTCGACCAGCAGAAAACACTAGCACTGAAGAGCACACGAGAGGCGTGGACTGATGGGAGACAGTCTACAGAATCTGAAACACCTACAAAAAGCGTGAAATGAAAATACTGCTTTTTCTTCAAAGAACAGAAAGGAGTGAATTTTGAAGAATTACAGAACCACAATGGCAGTGTTGTTCGACTGTACAGTACCTGATTCACTAGTGTGTGAATAGTTTCTTGACCGAATAGGATGGAAGCCAAAGGACACTTCGAATATATCAGAAGAATTTTAAGATCGTAAATTGGCTCTGTGGTCTCTGGAAAAATTGTAACCTGTAAATAACATGTAAAATAGTATCGCTTAGCTTTCAGAAAGCCTTTTGTTCTGTAGTTAACACATTTGTAGTATTACTATGTTTATGCACTTTTTCAGTTACAATGTTGGTTCAGGTATTCCCAGTTAGTGTACCTTAACGCCTAATTCATCTGGAGAATTTTTTTTTTCCTTACACTACTATTCCTTACAATTTTAGGTTAATTAAGCTACATGTAGATACGGAAATTAATATTTGAACTTCATTTTAACAACTTAAAATTGATTTTGCGGAAATACTTTCACAATTGAATAATCTACTTGAAATGCCAAGAGACGACAGTTAGTTACATACTTGTTTATATTTAATACACACAAGATTATTTGGAAGTCTACAGGTTACCTTCCTAACAAAAATTGCTGTGAGTTAATAATAATGAACTGTACTGGGTTTAGACCTACAATCCTGGCTTATATGTTAGTTGTTAGTGGTGGAACTTCTATTGTATTTTATTAATGACAGTGTTCTGTGTTCAATGGGTGAAGATTCTGCAGGGTGGGATCTTACACTTTTAAAGACTGAATAATTAAATATCAAGTAAGCCTGCAAACCACTGATGGCATGCAGTAATATTGTGATCTCACACTTATTAACAAGAAATAACCTTTATATTATTTACAGAAGGTAGAGTATATAAATCAGGTACGTACCAAGCACTGTTGTGCTAATACACTGATCAGGTTTAGACAATGAGCTTTAGTTTTGTACTATTTAGAAGTTCTAATGTCAGTTTTCAGTTCAAGATTAATGGGACAGTTTGACATTCATTGTTTGTAGTACTAGCAAAATACTGTGATTTTGAATTAGACATTAATTCAAATGGAAATACTATGTTTTGACACCATAGTGCCCTTCTTATGATCTCTATTTTACTTTAATCTCCTGCTTGGCCTTATATTTAAATCCCTATGCAACTGATATTTTATATCTCTGTTTTTAAAAATTAGATGATATACTTAAATGATCCCCTTGTAAACCACTTGTTGCTCTTTCCTGGTACAGGATTTTAAGCTCTGTATACTGTGATCCTTTATTTTACTATGCCAGTTCCAAATAATAATCTGCCTTGGTTTAGAAACATTTTTTGATATTTGGAAGAAGATAGAGTTCTTTAAATACGTGAATGAGTTAGGTCTAGATAGAAAACTTACTAACACTTTTTTTTTTTTTTACACACAAACACCCTCAAGTAAGCGGTTGGTTTTATTTTCCCACCCGATTGTTTTATTTTGTCCAGATCATTTAAAAGTTGAGCATAGAGCTGTGTTGTTTTCTGGCATGTTGGCCTTAGTACTGTGCCTAATCTACCGTTGGTTGTTTCTCTCCCCTCACAACCACAATCTATAGTATGTAAATTATCTTATTCTTAACAAAGGTTCTTTTTAAATTAGTAATATTTTGATGCTTTGAATGTTCATTTTAAAAAAGAAACTAAACACAATGCATTTTGAGGTGAATTTTAAATAAATCAAGTTGTTCAGTTTTGATGTGTAAACTCTGTCCTGTGAAACAGCAAACCAATGTTAATGTGTCTACGAAGGTGCCTCGATACTGACCACGCTTTTCAAAATTGCGGATTACCTCTTAGTACCTCTTAAAAAAAAAAATGTACAGCTAAAACAATTTTCAAAACTATTCTCTATTTTAAAACCCTGCACCAAGCAGCTAAATAATCTGAATTCCCTGTCTTCTGGAAGCCAGAAGCAGCGATGTGAGCCGAGGGGACCTTGATGGCTCTATCAAAAGTAGTTCAAATCCATAAAGATTCTGGAGCTATAGTTCAACTCCACTTTGACGGTCTTCCTATCCAATAATAAACTCTTCTTCACTGATGCGACAGTTGAAGCACCCATAGGCATGGTGAGTACTTTGTAACTAATGTGGTAGTTTTGGTTGAAGCATCTTGAAGCATCTTACTGGTACAATGACAGCAGTGCATCTCCACTGCTGAGATGCCTGTAATCCATTAACAGGTGCGGTTAGATAATCACTTTGCTGTTTATCCTACATAATTGGTTTGGTGCTTGCCACTGGGGAGGAGAATCCTATTGTGGACTCACGCATGCACCCAAGGAATAAGATGATCTTGGAATATTTCAAACTCATGTTTCTTTATTCTCTGTATAGATGGGAGAATTTGAGGGAGAAGGTTTGGGAGGGCTGCTCATCTTTTACCTATCCCTAACCCATCTGTCCTTGAAACATTTACCAACTACACAACTATGTATTATTTTTAAAACTCTTTGGGGGTTTGTAATCGAGCAGTAATACTTATATTTAGATATCTATACTATTTTTTTCAGATGATGTGAGCATCTCTGATAACGAAATATAAAATATAAATGCCTGAAAGAGTCCGTTTCCTAGGCTGGCCTCTCTTTTTGAGCTAGTGATACAAGGTGGTTTTGCTCTAAGTTTGCCGATATCAGTCCTTGGTTTACAGATTACACTTATTTTTTCTTCATTTGAAATCTGGCAGCATTCACAATGTTAATTGTTGTTATGATTGCAAATCCACTCTTAAGTTCTAGGCTTTCCCCCCTTCCTTTTGTTAAGGAAAACAGCAGCTTTCAGCCTGTATAGACAGTATAATGATTTCTTAAGTAATAGTCTAAAATTTCTCTTTAATTAGATTTCTAAACAGTTTCCCCCCCCCCTAATTCCAGTTATTTATTTTCTCTACTTGTTGTCCAAAGGATGTTCAGCATCAGAGACATGATACTAACGCTGGATGATACATCTCATTTTCACCGATAAAGCTTCGTGCTGCAGGTCTGTCTGAGCTCTTGGATAGTCTAAGGATGTGAATATTAAATTGAAAATGTGAATCCTAAAATTGTAGGTCGTAGAAGGAAAGCTGGACTGCTGTTAGCCTTGTGTAACTTTCCATTAATAGCTTTGTGAGCACGCTACAGTTGGAGGAATGGGCACCAGTGGAAGCTCCAGCAGATACCGGTGCAGAAGTAGTTTGTGTTGTTTGTCAGGTGTTCTTCTTCAAACAGGTAAGTTAGTTCTTGTTTCGCTAAAACAGTACATTACCAGTTGTGGATATGGTTCTCATTGCTGTATGTGTCATAACCAAGAGTCATTTCAAACTGCAAATACATGTGTGTAACAGGTTTTCTACAAATGCAGAGACTACTGCTCACAAAAGTCAAAAGAAAAGCTTGGTGCCTTGTGCACTAAGATTGACTAAAGGTGGTTTGGTATCACTTTATGCTATAATCTCAACAACATGTTATCTGCTAAGTACTAACGGCCATACTTAGTCTTTTCTTACTTTACTGAAATTTGTATTTATGTAAAAATAATTAACAGTCCATTCATGTAGGGTAGTTGTGACATAGTGCCACACCTAGGGTGTACAGACAAATTACAGTCTTGCTGTTTCAATTAAGTAACTTAGAATTTGTTGCTCCATGTAGCTAAATAGGGAGCGATGGGCAGGTCTATAGCTTTCACATTGCACTATGAGCTAAGCAAGATTTTTATCGCAGTGCAATTTGAGCTCAGCTATTACTGACTGCAGCAGTCAATTTATATATATATTGTAGTCCTGCAAAACTACTTTGAAACCTACCAGCCAGCCCTGGACTAAACCTTCCATTCCCTCCTTTACTATACAGGTTTGTGTCATGAAAAGCCAAAGGATATTTATTTGCTCAAGAAAAAGATATTGCCATACAATATCAGTGTGCAATTTTAGAAAGCAATAATATCACTTAATCTGCTTGGATATTTTACACCTATAGCTCTTAGGAAGCTGAGCACTATCCACAAGCAAACTTAAGTTTGGAGATCAGTCTCTGTATTTCTTGCATCTGCTCTTGGTCTCTTTTGCGTTGAACACCACTTAAGGTTCATTTCTTGTTGTCCATCGTATTACATGGGAATACTAATGTGGTCTGTCACCACAAAAAAGTGCTTGGCCAGCAATTGGTGTGGTAAATGTTCCACAAAAACATTGGGTGTAGATGAACTAAATACCAAGTTGTGAGGTTTTTGTCTAGCTTTTTGTTTTAACTGAACAAGCAATTTGGGTGCCGGTCTCAACCTGATGAGGTGCAGAGTGGGACAAAAAGAAGAGGTGCTTGAGATAGTAATGAATGATGTCTTTGACATGAAAAGTTTCCCAGTATGTGTTTATGGTTCAGCATCCTTGATGTTAATGTTGAGTAACAGAAGTGGGAGAATAGCAGGTATTGAATGCATGACTAGTTGAAAAGTTTTTGACATCTTGTCATTAGATAAGCAGAGCTAGACTGTTCGATGCCAGTGGTTGTCTTTTTAGATGGTCTTTAAAGGAAAATTCTTGTGTTTTATGTGAAAGGGACGATCTATGTTTGCTTCAACATTTTTATGAGAAATAAGTGTACAGTTGTGTAATCTGCAGTGTACACACGTAACTTAAGCACTAAAAGCTTTGGTAAAACCAACTTGCAAAATAAGTATCTCACTGCGATGCCAAATTTAGTAAGCCAGTAGAATTATTTTTCAGTTTCTAAACCACGAGGCATGGGCCAATGCCTTTTACTTCTGTATTTAAAAACAGAAGGTGAACGTTAGAAATTACTCATTTTGAAATCTTTTAGTTCACTACGGTAAAATGGAATAGGAGAAAAAAAAACATACGGTTTAGAACATAAAATACAAATGTGGGGGGGACTCAGAATTTTCTCACTGTTATAAAATCAACATTTGTAGTAACCGTTGTGATTCACTCTTGAAGATTCTTGCAGGCTCCATCTTTGTTGCCAAGCCTTTTCCTGGTAAATTATATCTGCAATGAAACAATAAGAAAATGTGTGTTGCATCAATTTTGAAAAAGGCCAGTCCTACTGTTATAGTAAGATTTTATTAAATGTTGTTTGAGGTTCTTTCTGGCTGGTGCTGGGTGCTAGTGTGTGTATGTGGGACTTGCATGGGGTACCCAGATGACTTGATGGCACTTTGGGAGAGGGTGTGGAAATCCAGTCTTCTGAAGGTATTTAAAAGGTGCAATACAAAGTAAAACTAAGCTTAATTATTACTTTTAGAATTGACTGAGCACGTTTAAGTATGAAATAAAATGCTTTTGATTTGGAAAAACAAAAGGCTCACAGTAGGGCATCTCAGCCTTTTATTCAAGTTTAGCTGCAGGGGAGCTGAGCTGTTCTTGAAGTAGCCGTAACTAGCTGTATAACCTAGCAGTGCCCAAGGAACAGCACTTAAAGCTTCAGGTAAAGTGTAGAATTCTATTTTAAAACCCCGTTTACAGAAAACACATTGGTATCTGGAAAGCTGACCACTGGTACCGAATGTGAGCAAACAACTGGTCAGCCTTTACTACATTTATTTTAATCAGATGGACAGAATAGGAGGAAAGTATAATTATGCCTTATTTTTCCTGAATTCCTACTAGACTTTAAATTACATAAGTTTTCATATTTTTATGCTATTTTCAGGGAATATAGAAGTAATCACTACTTGTTTCTCTGCACTTGTGCCGTGGATTTACATGCTTGTAAAGTATACAGACTAATTGAAATGTTTGTTCAGGATTTTTTTTCCCTAACCTGTTAGTGGTGAAGGATGGGAGTTTTGGACGGGCTTCAGGCTGGCCTGTTGGGAGTACCTCAATCTGAGTCTGGAGTTAACTGCATCAAAATGGTGCTAAAACCCTCTGCTGAGGTTGTCTTCATAGTAATAGAGATAAATCACAGTGAATGTATACAGTTATTTTTAAAAAAATAATCATAGCTGAGACCAAAATGTTGAAACAAATGGTATTCAGAGTTAGGCCCCGTAATCTCTAGCTAGGCGTGGAGCAGCATTTTTAAAT